TTCTCTTAACTCATCAAAGTCATTCTCCATCCAGCTTTGTTCTGTTGCTGGTGAGGAGCTGCGTTCCTTTGGAGGGGGAGAGGCGCTCTGATTTTTAGAATTTCCAGCTTTTCTGCACTGCTTTTTCCCCATCTTTGTGATTTTATATACCTTTGGTGTCTGATGGTGGTGACGTACAGATGGGGTTTTGGTGTGGATGTTCTTTCTATTTGTTAGTTTTCCTTGTAACATTCAAGACCCTCAGCTGCAGGTTTGTTGGAGTTTGCTTGAGGTCCACTCCAGGCCCTGTTTGCCTGCGTATCAGCAGCACAGGCTGCAGAAGAGTGAATACTGTTGAACAGCAAATGTTGCTGTCTCATCGTTCCTCTGGAAGCTTCATCTCAGAGGTGTACCCAGCCTTGTGAGATGTGAGGTGTCAGTCTGCACCTAGTGGGGGATGTCTCCCAGTTAGGCTACTCGGGGGTCAGGGACCCACTTGAGCAGGCAGTCTGTCTGTTCTCAGATCTCAAACTCCATGCTGGGGGATCCACTACTCTCTTCAAAGCTGTCAGACGGGACATTTACATCTGTAGAGGTTTCTGCTGCTTTTTGTTTGGCTATGCCCTTTCCTCAGAGGTGGGGTCTACAGAGGCAGGCAGGCCTCCTTGAGCTGTGGTGGGCTCCACCCAGTTCGAGCTTCCCGGCCGCTTTGTTTACCTACTTAAGCCTCAGCAATGGTGGGCACCCCTCCCCCAGCCTCGCTGCTGCCTTTCAGTTAGATCTCAGGCTGCTGCGCTAGCAATGAGGGAGGCTCTGTGGGTGTGGGTCCCTCTGAGCCAAGCATGGGATATAATCTCCTCTTGTGCCATTTGCTAAGACCCTTGGTAAAGCGCAGTATTAGGGTGGGAGTGACCCGATTTTCCAGGTGTTGTGTGTCAAGGTTTCCCTTGTCTAGGAAAGGGAATTCCCTTCCCCCTTGTGCTTCCTGGGTGAGGTGATGCCTCACCGTGCTTTGGCTCTCGCTCGTTGGGCTGCACCCACTGTTCTGTACCCACTGTCCAACACACCCCAGTGAGATGAACCCAGTACCTCAGTTGGAAATGCAGAAATCACCCATCTTCTGTGTCGCTCATGCTGGGAGCTGGAGGCGGGAGCTGTTCCTGTTTGGCCATCTTGGAACCCTAAAGGGAACTATCGCTATTTTTTTTTTTAACTTTTACATGGATGTCCTGGAAATTTGTATATATAAAATCTTTATATAAAATACACGAAATCTGTTTTCTTTCTTTTTTTTTGAGTCTTTTTTTTTTTTTTTTTGAAACTAAGCTTTCCACTCTTCCCACAATATGATATTGTTTTTCAGATTTTCCAAATAAAACTGCGGTGAATATTTTAAAATAGTTTTTCTTCCCCTCTTTTGAGTCATTTTGTTGGGTCAAGTCCCCAGATGGGGAATTGCTGGGTCAAAGATTATCAGCATTTTTGAGGCTCTTGATGTGCATTGGCAAAATGTTTTGCAAAGGACTTGTTTCCAGCAATCCTCATTTACATTGTTTTAGCAACATACATGAGATTCTTTTTATTTTTTTACTGCAAACCCACTAACAGTGAATATTACAAGAAAAAGGTTTCTGAGCTCATTTACAATGGATAAATGATTTCTTCTGTACTTTTTAAAAAAATCACTTTCACTTTTAATTCAAGTTGCCGGGATAAAATTTTAAAAAAATCTGAAATAATTTCAAACTAATAGAAACATTTCAAATATAGTACAAAACCCCTATTTTTATCCTTATCTAGGTTTTCCCAATATTAACAAAATCTACTCCCCCCACTCCACTCCTGTACATATCCATTATCACTAATCTTTTGAAAACCTTTTAAGAAGTTGCAGGTATGGTACCCTATTACCCCTAACTACTCCACTGTATTTCTCAGAACAAGAACATTCCTGTGTAAGCACCATCGACCCTCCAACTTTGGAAGTTAGCATTGATAACAATACTGCCATCCAGATCATGGACCCCAGTCAAATTTTACCAACTGCAATCATCTAGAAAAATGTGCTGTAAGGCTGGGCACCATGGCTCATGCGTATAATTCCAGCACTTTGGGAAGCCAAGGTGGGTGGATTGCCTGAGGTCAGGAGTTCGAGACCAGCCTGGCGAACATAGTGAAACCCCATCACTACTGAAAATACAAAAGAGTTAGCCAGCATGGTGGCAGGCGCTTGTAATCCCAGCAGGAGAATGACTTGAACCCTGGAGGCAAAGATTGAAGTGAGCTGAGATCGTGCCATTGCACTCCAGCCTGGGCAACAAGAGTGAAATTCTGTCACAAACAAACAATTAACAACAACAAAAAAAAGTGCTGTAATAATCTATCTTGTCTTTTTTGGCCTTCTCCAGTTTGGAATATTTTCTCAGTCTTTGGAATATTTTCTCAGTCTTTCCTTATGTTTTGGGTCCTTGGCAGTACAAAATCTGTTTTGAATTAAGGTTTTCAACATTTACTGGATTAAGTGCTTTGTAATAATTATTGACATTTACTTCCTATTTCTTCTGAAGAGATATTTTTGATATAGGTTAGAGTGCACATTAAGAGGCAGGAAGAAGGCACAATACTAAATTTCTCTCATCAATTTGTGATTCTTCCCTCTACTTCTATATATAGATCACTCCAGGGAGAGCTTCCCCCTCACCTTCTCTACATCCTCTGTATTTACTCCCAACTCTCCACTCAGTTCTAAAGTCCACAGTCTTGTGAACTGTGATGAAGGTTACAGGAGAATCATTTTTGGAGATAAAATTGCTTTAGTTCTCTTTAGTCTTCCACTCCCTGACCTTAGAATGACCATGGAGTAACTCCAATAGTATCATGTAGATTCCCTGAATATTGTATAGTATAGATGTGTCATCTTTGTTTTTAATAGGTATAATAAAAACATACTCCTATTTTCTTTTATAAAATAACACAACTCAAGAGGGATAGATAATAGGTTCTGAAAGTTGCTGATGATCCAGATGGAAAATTCATAAATACTGTATTTTAAAATATAGTACACATAAAGAATATTTAGTATCACTTACACCTCTATCTATTTCAAAATTAGGGTATTTTTTTTTACTTTAGGTTCATTAACAATAGTTACTATTTTATTAAAATATGACTATCAGTTTGAAAAAGATTTTATTTAAAGATTTTAAATTTTGTTTCTTACAGGCTTTGACACTGGTTTATTAGGAATTATTTTACAAATTAAACACACAAAGTATTCACTTTTAAGAAGAAATACAAACATTTTTCTTAAAAAAGCCTTTCTTAAAAGTAATCTGTAGACTGTGGAATGTAGTATAATATGAATTCTACACAATTAAAGCTTTGGCAACTCAGTATCACTAATGATATCACTGTAGCATAACCTCTGTTACAAATTGTCTTTATATGTTTCTACTTTCAAATAAGATAAATTCAGGATTAATTGGTAAAAAAAGTCTAAATTATTGGTTAAATGAAATGAAGTTTTAATAATTTTAAGCTCATATTATAAAACATGCCACTACTAAGTAGGCAGATATTTCTAAGATTCTCTCCTACAGGATCATAATGATAACTTATTTTAAGTTGGTATCAAATCCTTAGAGGGCTATTATCCTTAGGTGCTATTTTTAGTTATTCAAAGACGACAAAGTATAATTTTTTTCCAGCATATTTTTTCTATAGTTACTTTTACTGTATAAAGTTTCTGTGTAACTTTTATCTTAGGTGTAACAGTTTCATACAAAATCCTTATCTATTTCTTAATGATATTTTGAGGCTTATTACGTTATAGCAATTCATAGCTTACTGGGACAAGAAATTTTAAAAGCTTTGCACATTTTGTCTTTTTATTGTTTCCCTGTTCAATTCATTAAGAACATGAATAGTATTACATGATATAAACTATGATTTGATATAATGCCATTTATCAACTATAGTAAATTTTTAAAACAGATGGCTCACTTAGTACTCCCAAATAAATGAAAATTAATACAATAAAATACGAGTAATTGAAGAACAAAAGTGGATAACAAGTACATGGACAGTGTTCATTACTGGTATTTCCTTAGTGAATGTGGTTTATAAAATTCTGATATGCCCCATCAAACTTAAACTTGTTACAGCACTGAAAAATGGGCAAGTAGACCAAATGTTCCTAAGTATATTTCTTAGCAGAAAGCAATCTAAAGTAGCAGCATTTTTATTAAACTACAAAAATATTTTGATATTTATGATTTATTGTACAATTTATAAAGAACAAATTAGGGTACAGTTCTATTGTAGTGTGATAATTAATGATACTGTAAGTAGGAGACCATCTTCTTCAGACTTGTAGTCCATTGGAGAACTGGAAATTTAAATTGGCAGCTTATAACAAGATTTTAAATTATATTTTATTAAACTGAAAGGAATAGGTGGGATGAAAACAAAATATCATATAAAGAGGTTATTAATAAAATATTTTTTGTTATATATACAATATGTATATGCATACACAAACATATACTCACTGTATACATATGTATACATATTACATGTGTATATGTATATTAATGAAGTATATGTAAGTGTGTACACAGAAACAAATTTATACATAAAATATATAGGTCTGAGTACAGGATCAGGGTCATTTTTTTATTTACTATGAGTCTTGGTCATCAAAGTTTGAAAGACACTGAAAAAGAAATTAATTTTATTCTTGTTTTAGGATATATGAAAGGGATGTTAGTTAATACCTATGTGAAGTCCATTTATCTCTTAAAAAGAAGTTGAAGGCTATAAAAAGATATCTAGCCTGAGAAATAATGGGTTGATTAACAGTAACCTAAATGATGCTGAAGGATAAAGGAGAACAAAATATTTCTGACTCATGATATGGAGAACATTAGATACTAGTGAAAAAAAAAAAAAAAGGAATTCTCAAACACAAGGAGTTACCTCACATCCAGAAGTATTTTTGTGGAAGAAGCATTGGTACTAACCATATTCTATTGCAGCTTTGAGCAATGCCTCAGCATGAGTGGAGCCAAATGCATTGCGAACAAATCGTCTCCTTCGACGAAGATCATCTTCCCAGTAATCCAAACGCCAGAAATCATGCAATTGGCTAAGAGTAGAGGGAAAAAAAGTAATCCCTATTAATAACAATGTATAACTGGAAATACATTTTTCTATAAAATTGAAGTTATTTTGTTGGTCTCATTGAAAAATTAAGATAATGTGTATATATATATAAAAAAAATATATACACACACATACACAAATACAAGTGTGAAATATACATATATATATATTCCCTCTACAACTGAAAAAGACTTAAAATAAAAACATTCTTATATTTCAGGCATTATACCACTCAGCTCTGCTTTTTATTTTTTAAATTTTCTTATTTCCACTAAAAGCATTAATCATGTGGAGTTTAGTAACAAATGCAACATCAAATTATAAGTATTAATGGTACAGTTTGTTTCTTTTACACTATTTTTAACAAGGGTTGTAAATCACAGAATACACCTCACTACAAATAGTTTACAATTTAATGACCATGGTTTCTTAGTAGGCTGAATTAAGAAGTATAAAATATTGCCCACTTGGATTTGGTGGAAAAATGATTAAAATAATGCACTGAAATATTCATTGAAATAATTCCCCACTGCCCACAGCAACCTGAGAAAAATGCAATTTTATCCATTATTAATAATACTGAATTAGAGCTGCAAAAATTTCCAGTATGTGGTAATTGTCTTGGTAAATTATTATTCTAATGCTAATAGAGTTCTTGGATGATTTTACAGCTTTCAACTAATATAAACCATTAATAGCCATGGCCAACATTGGCCATCACTGTCTTTTATACTCCAAACCGATACTAAAAATCCAGGAGATATTTCAGAAATGATGTAAATAGGCCCATTATATAGCCAATGAAATATTTTGTGATAATGATACAATTTTTGTTTTTAGTTTAATTTCAGTAAACCCACTGCTTAAGAAGTCAATTTTTATAATATTCTAATTTTCCAGAGCAGCAGTATTCATAAAAACATATAAAATACTTTCCTAGAAGATTTCACTTCATTAATTATTTTGATATTTTACTGTAGAAGAACACTTTAAGTCTGATTAAGGCAGGACCTATGTATGTTTTGCTCATCATTATATTTCTAGCACAATGTCTGGCACACAGCATGTTTTTACTAAATATTCACTGAATTAATGAAAACATTTTTTTAATTTCAAAAAAATCTATGGATTTTTTCAATGTCTGGCCATTGAGAAAAATAATTTCATTTTGAAAGGCATTTTAGATTTTATGGCTATATAATTTTTTATCTATAATTTCATTATAAAAACCTGATAGTATAAAGGGCATATAAAAAGAACTAAAATTGTAAGTCTTTAAAGTATACTTTAATGCACTTATTTTTCCTGTACATCATAATTATAACTTAATTCTTCTGTTAAATAATGATTACTTGATGAATAATAGTAATAAATAGTATATCTCTCTAATTTAAAATAGGATGATTTCTATCCTTACAAATACAAACTAACCCCAGTAATTTAAGGAAGACCATGCTAAAATCAGGCTATATTGATTTTCAGTAAGATTATGTTAAAATTAAGTAACTGAATTCACCAAAAGCGGTCAGAGATCTAATGTTACCTAAAATTTCTAGCCCTAGACATAGTGTTCCCTATTCTTCTGTAAGGGCAGCTGAACAGTTCTGGAAAGGATATATAAAACAAACATAAGAAGACTCTGAAGACCTGAACCATACAAATTCTAGAAGATGACACTGGAAAAACTCTTCTAGACATTGGCTTAGGCAAAGACTTCGTGACCAAGAACCCAGAAGCAAATGTAACAAAAAAAGGATAAATAGATGGGACTTAATTAAACTACAAAGCTTCCTTTCGCACAGTAAAAGAATCAGTAAACAGACAGTGGGAGAAAATTTTCATAATCTATACATTGGGCAAAAGGAATCCAAACAAATCAGCAAGAACAAAACAAACAATCCCATTGAAAAGTGGGCTAAGGACATGAATAGGCAATTCTCAAAATAAGATATACAAATGGCCAACAAACCTATGAAAGAATGCTCAATATCATTAATTATCAGGGAAATGCAAATCAAAACCACAATGCAATACCACTTCGCTCCTCCAAGAATGAACATAATCAAAAAAATAAAAATAAATAGATGTTGGTGTGGATGTGGTGAGAATGTAAACATTTTACGCTGTTGGTAGGAATGTAAACTGGTATAACCACAATGAAAAACAGTGTGGAGATTCCTTTAAGAACGAAAAGTAGATCCACCATCTGATCCAGCAATCCCACTCCTGGGTATCTACTCAGAGGAAAAGAATTCATTATACAAAAAAGATAGTTGCACACAAATGTTTATAGTAGCACAATTTGCAATTGCAAAAATATGAAACCAGCCCAAATACCCATCAGTCAATGAGTGGATAAAGAAAATGTTATATATATACACACACGTATATATACACACATATATACATATATATGTACACACACATACTTTGGGGACTCAGGGGAAAGGGTGGGAGGTGGCTGAGAAATAAAAGACTACACATTGGGTATAGGGTACGCTGCTCAGGTGATGGGTGCACCAAAATCTCAGAAATCACCACTTATAGAACTTATTCACATAACCAAATACCGCCTGTTCCCCAGAAACCTATTAAAATAAATTTTAAAAAAGAGAAGACTCTGAAAGGTGAGAGAAAGTAGACTGACTAAGGACCTCAGGACCTAAGGAACAACATATGATGAGTCCTTTTTGCTTCATATATCCCACACTTGGAAGCAAAGAGGTCAACAGCCCAGATAGATAAATGAGTGCAGACAAAAAAAAAAAAAAAAAAAAAGCCCCGGCAAAAGCCTGTTCCCTCTAGTCAAAGGACGAGAAAAGAGCAGATTAGCAAGATGGAAAACTTTTAGACAACTGCTATACTCCAGCCAAACATCACAGAAAAATTGCATCCCCACCTGACCTACACCAGCAAAGGATGGCTGTGAAGCCCAGACATGTACCCTCATGAAGGTGTAATGAGATACCCAACACCCTTGCTGGGTGTTATCGGAGACCACCAAGTAGGCAGCCAGGACTTCATCTCTGCTGGCTGGTAACAAGGTGCCCCACTCACATGGAGTCAGTGGAGACCATGTGGAGAGGTTGGCTTTCCACTTCCCATTGGATAGTAATGGGGCATCCCTCCCCCTCCCCACTAGGGTAGTGTCAGCGGAAGCCTACTGCAGAGTCAGGACTTCCACTGCTGACAAACAACAATGAGGCCAGCCCACCAGTGGACATCACATGGGGACCGGGAACTCCCACCCCCATCAAGCAGTATAAAAAGAGCCCCTGACTCACTGGGTTTCAATGGATGACAAGTGAAGAACTTAGATTTCTACTACCATGTAGCAGATATAAGACAGTGTCCCCTCTTCCAGATGAAGCATGTTATAGAAAGTCTAAATAGAAGGTTTAAATAAAATAAATTATCTCAGAAAAAAATAAGAAAAGGTCCAGGTTTCAATCTAAAATCACTTGTCATACCAAGAACCTGGAAAATCTCCAAGGGTATGCAAAAAGATCACCCCAAAATGCCAACATTGAAATGGTGAAGAATTTAAAGCAGCCATGATTGACAATATGCTTCAATATGCAATTATGAAAATATTTGAAATGAATGAAAAAAAATAGCCTTAGCAAAGAAATAGAAACTCTCAGAAAAGAAACAGAAGATGTAAGGAAGAACCAAATGGAAGTTTTTGAACTGACATTATATAATAACCAAAATAAAAGCTCAGTAGATGTGCTCAACAGCAGAATGGAAGGGACAGAGGGAGGAATCACTTAATTCGAAGACAGGATAATAGAAATTATGCAATCCAGATAACAGAAGGAAATAGATGAAAAAGTGAACAGAGCCTTAGGGATCTGTGGAGCACAACATTTAGCATTTGTGTCACTGGAATCCTAGAAGGAGAGGAGAAAGTAGGCAGAGTCGAAACAATGTCTGAAAAAATAATGGCGGAAAACTTTCTAAATTTGGCAAAAACATAAATGTACAGATTTAAGTAGCTGACTGAACTCCAAACTAAATCCAAGGAAGTCCATGCTGAGACACATCATAATTAAATTTCTGGAAACTGAGGGCAAAGAAAGTCTAAAGAGCAGCCAGAGAAAAATGGCATCTCATTTCTAGAAGTAAAACAATTAGAATGACAACATATTTCACACCAGAAACAATGATGACCAGAGGAAGTGGCAAAATACTTTTTAGGTGCTAAAAGAAAAGAACTGTCAACCCCAAATCCTATAGCCAATGAAGACACCTCCAGGAATAACAAGTGAATACGTCTTTAGATGAAGTAAAAGCCAGAATATTTATTGCCATCAGATGTAGTCTAAAAGAAAGGCTATAGGCAGTTCTGTAAACATGAGGGAAGTAATAGAAGAAACACTGAAACATTAGGGAGGAAGAAAGAACACAATAAGCAAAATATGACTATCTATAATAGGCTTTCCTTTTCCTCTTGAGTTTTCTAAATCATGTTTTACTGTTGAAACACAAATTGTAACACTGATGTGGTTCTAAGTGTATTTACTGGTAATATTTAGGATAAATATATTATAAATGGGGGGAGGCAAAGGGATGTGAAGGGACGTAAAGTGTCTATATTTCACATGGACTGATAGAATGATAGCACCAGTAGACTGATAAGGCTATGCATAAAAAATGTAATACTTAGAGCAAACACTAAAAAAGTTACACAAAGGGATATATTAAGAAATGTAGATAAATCAAAACAGAATTCTAAAAAATGACCAAGTCACCCACAGGAAGGCAGAAAAAGAAAACCTCTTGATTTAAAAAAGAATTCTCAAGGGAAAACAAAAAGAACACAGAACTGAATGAAAATCACAATAAGAAATATCAACACTTGTTGGACACAACCAAAGTAGGACTGAAAGGGTAATCTATAGTATTAAATGCATATATTAGAAAAGAAGAAACATTTAAAATCAGTAGTATAAATTCTCACCTTTAGAATACATAAAAGGC